CATGCTTTGATGCAATGCCATTGCTCTCCTGCCTGCCACACTGCCGTTGCCGTAGAAGTCGTGGAGGAAGCGTCCGTGAAGACCGTCGGTCCTGGCTGCGGTCGGTCCTTGACCTTTGGCGGTATGTCTATGTCGACGATGGTCAGCAGCCGAGTCCAGGGCGGTTTTGCTGAGTAGGAGATTTCTCCTCTGAAGCCGGTGAGAGCAAGGGCTAGGTGCTCTGAAATTGCGGGTGACTCTGCAGACGGTTGCTTGCGAAAGGGAAGGTGTATTCTTGTCGGCTCAGTTCCTAGGTGTCTCAGGGCGAGTTTCCTGCCTTTCCTGATGAGGTTAGCGACGCATTCGACTCCTGGGAAGAATGCACGAGCAGGTCTCCTGAGGACCACCCATTGGATCGGCCGGGCCTTTTCAGAAGGCCTTTGTGCCAGTGCCCTCACTCCGCCCTTTGGCGTGAAGTGTACGTATAAGTCCAGGGGCATGGCTGGGTTCCACCTGGCTAGCGTGCCAGTGGACATTTGCTGATCGATGAAATCGAGGGAGCCCGCCGCTTGTGGTGTCAGCTCCTTGGGTTCCCAGGGGTGTTGTCTTTTCAGGAGGTCATATAAAGGGTCTATGATCTCGGGGGGGATCAGGACAACATTGCGGACCCACTGCAGTGATCCCACCAGGCATTGCACATCGTGAAGTGTCCTGATGTCCCGGTTGATCTTTACCTTGGGAGGAGTCACGTAGGAGCTTGTGATTCCCACTCTCAGGAAGGTCACGCAGGGTCTTCTCTTGACTTTTGCGCTTGCGATCTCGAAGCCGTTGGCCCGGAGGGTTTCCGTGATCGCAGACACCAGGTGGTCCACTTGGCTCGTTGATGGTGCAGCGACTAGGATGTCGTCCATGTATTGGATGATGGTTGCGGCAGGGTAGGAATGTCGGACTGGCATCAGTGCTCTGTCCACGGTGATCTGGCAGATAACCGGACTGTCCACTAGGCCCTGGGGAAGTACTCTCCATTGGAAACGGAGGTTAGGCCGATTACCGTTTGGAAACGCGACGGAAAAGGCAAAGCGTTCTCTGTCGTCTGGATGCAGGGGTATCGAGAAGAAACAGTCTTTGATGTCTAGCACTGCGCATGGCTGTCCTTCAGGGATAGCTGAATTCATGGGTAGCAGTGTCTGGACTGGACCCATGGGTCGAATCGTCTTGTTCACTTCTCTCAGGTCGTGGACGAGACGATAACCCTCTCCGGACCTTTTGGGGATTACAAACACAGGGGTGTTCTATGGACTGGTGGAGGGCTCTATGTGACCCTTTTGCAGTTCACGGTTAACCAGTTCCAGCAAAGCTGCCACTCGAGGCTCTGACAAAGGCCACTGCTCCCTCCAAACAGGATCTGATGATTTCTAAGTCAATTTGATCGGCAGCTGAGGGTGTACAGCAGTGGCCCCTATGATAAATTTGTAATCTTGACTCCTAGCATAGCAAGGACGTCCCTTCCTATTAGTGGTGGAGAGTTTTGCAAAATGTAGGGGTAAATTGCTACTGTCTGTTCTGGTCCCTTATTTGTGTGAAGTGTTATAGCCACCAGCTGGGTGCTTTTCCACGCCTGGGTTTGTCCCCCCAGCCCGTTCACTGGGGGGACTTCCTTAAACCGCCAATGTCTGGGCCAATGCCGCTGAGGGAGAATCGTGTAGTCTGATCCCGTGTCTACCCAAAACTGAAGTCCTACAATGTGGGGGTCCTGACTGCCATAGAGGCGGCATGTCCCCCTCACCCTCGGGGGTTCCTTCCCTATTCTCATGGCCAGGGCCACCCAGGGGTCCCGGTTTGGGGCGTCCCCTGCTGGCCCTGTTGCGCTTGCGTGGCTTGTGATGATGGGGGGTGCGAGGGTACGGTTGGTGGTACTGCATAGCTCTGCCATTGTATCGCTGGCGAGGGTGCGATACTGACTGCCTCCTGTGGGAGCATAGGGTATGAAGATCCCCTGCCCCATTGTGGGTTGACATAGATGGGCCGTCTCGCATCCATAGCGGGAGGGGGCTGAATATGGCCCGCACGCCCCCCCCTCTCCCGTTTCCCCGGGGCCGGGATCTACAGTCCCTAGCGAGGTGACCTCTCTTCCCACAGCTCCAGCAGGTCCCTCTGGGGCGCTGTTGGGGCGAGGGTGTTGCCTGGGGACGCTGTGCCGGCTGGGGGCAGTTAGCCGCGACATGACCTGACTGACCACATTTGAAGCAGGCCATCACACTGGTTAGGGTGTGCACGGTTGCCTGAAGTGGGGTCAACTGCTCTTCTCTCACAACATGCTTAATCATGTCAGCCAGGCTGGCCCCGGCTGGTAGGGAACGCAATATATCTTTGGTTACGGTGTTACATTGCTGCCGAAGGCAGTCAGTTACCACCGGGCCTTTTGCGACAGCGGGTAAATTAGAAGAGTCCACCGCAGCCTGAAGGCGGTCAACAAATTGTGTAAAGCTTTCACTCTCCCCCTGTTTGATGGTCGACCACGGTGTCGGTCTGGCCACCACCCTGGATGCGGCGCGTATAGCTTCTCTGGCCGCCCGGGAAGTCGCCCTGACTTCCTCGATCCGGAGCTGGGCAGCTTGTTGCTGGGGTGTGGCTACTTCGTCGTGCTTCCCCAACAACCTAGATAAACTCGACCTGTGGAGTGGCTGCCCTTCCCCCGCCGTCTGAGCGAGCATGGTTGCACATTGGTCCGTCTATTCCTGTTTAAATATTATCAAGCCTGCCCCATCAAAAAGCATACGGCTTATTTGCACTATATCGAAAGGGAGTAAATCATCATTGCTAAAAAGACTATCCACGAGAGTGGAAACCACCCCTGAGTTAATTCCTTTTTCTGAGATGGCTTTTACTATTGTTTGAACGTCTTTGGAATTAACGGGAGTATACGTTCTTTGCTGGTTCCCCTGGGGTCCCGTAATTCTCACCGGGAAGGCATGCACCGATGCTGCGGATGCCCATTCCGCGCATTCGATTTTGATTTTACCCCAGTCGGTGAGTTCGTATTGGGGCTGGTTCCCGGTTGTGTTAAAAGTTTTAATTGGTTTCGTCCGAAACCGCATTGATTCTGTTTTCTCTGCTTCCGAGTCGCTGCTGGACTCGGTGGGCTCCGCAGAGTGATCTGGGGAGCTGTGGCTCCCTTCAGAGTCGGAAGTCGACTGCCAATATACTTCCGGTCTCTGCTGCCGTTTTGTCCGGCTACGGCCCTGCTCCTCCCCTCGGGGCCGGTGCTGATGTTGCTGGCGGTGCCGCCCCCTGGGCTTGCCCTGCCTCCCGCAGGGAGGGATCTCTCCCATATATGGTGGCATCAGTAGGCGCGGCTCCCGAGTGTGTGCCTGCCCTCTGTTGCACCCCCACGCATGCGCGTCTGCTGGGATCCGCGGCTCTCGGCCGGGCATGGGCTCAGCGCTGGTTTCATGCGCATGCGTGTTCGCGGTTGGCCGCGGTTCTGGGTTCTTCCCGCTGCGGGCCGGCGGGCTCCACCCCTCTTCCCGGCCACCCACGCCATATTCAAACGGGTAGGGCGGCGGATCCCCTCCGCCGCTCGCCCGCGCGCCAGCCCTCTCGATATTTCGGGCCTCTGCCGCCAGCCCCTCCCAAAAGGACCGTACGAGTCCCTCCGCTTCTTGCGCTAAGTCGGCTAGCGGCGGGGAAGGGTTGGGCGAGGGGTCCGCGGGCACCCCGGGGGGCTCCGGAGGTGGTCTGGGCCCCGGTGGGTCCCCCGAAAGGGTCAGGGGGTCCCCCGGGGGCTCCGAGGGCTCCGGGGGCTTTGGGCTGGAGGAGGGATGGGTCGCGCCCGGCCCCCCCGTCTCCCCGCTCTCAATCGAGTCGCCACCAGGGGGGTTTCGCGTTCCCGCCCCCTCCCCCAGCTGTGGCGCGATTAACAAACAGGAGCGCGCAGCATTCCACGTCTCCTGTTCTTCTAATGCTTTGCGTAGGGCGGCTTCTGCCTTCCCCCACGCTTTCAGGCTTTTGCTGCTGCCTGTGGCTTTTGTGTCCTCTGCTAGCGCGACAGTACATTTCTGCCACACCCCAGGGTGTAATATATCTATGGGTCGAGAAATGACCCCAAGCTCTAAGAGTCTCGTCAATGCGAGATTAAAATTCCTGAGCTCACATTTGATTCCCCATTGCATATGTATCAAACTTACGACCTTCGCTATCGCTTCCATACAAATCGCGGGTCTCTGGGGCGTCCCCCTTCTTCGCTATGGCCGTTCCGGCGTTGAGTGCTGTCCCCTGGCCAGGAGTACTCCCGTCGCCCCGGGTTTCGGCACCACTATGTTGCCCTCTTGTGAAGGCCACGGCGACCTGGTTTCAGGGTCTAGCACTTCGATCTCCTTCGTGGGATCCCTTGTGGCCAATAACGGACGCTGACACCAATGTGGTGGATGGTTAAAGGCGTTTATTGAGGGGTCTTAAGGGTATTTATGGACTAAGGGGTCTCTCTACGTCAGACAGGGGTTTGGCTATACTTTCTAGGGTTAGTATGGAGTGGAAAGTTACTGGCATGCATAGGTTAGGGGGGCTACACGTCTGGCTACATTCCAAGGGTGATCCTTATCTATGGGGAGGGGGGTAGAAGGATTCCTGTAATTTTCCGTTACAGCCCGAAATCTTCCGAGCGCCTGTCCCTGGCCTACCACAGTTCCTGCAGTTTCAAGCCTGACAATTCCTGGAACTTTTACTAGAAAAATTATGAATGAGGGAAGTTGACAATTCTTTAACGAAAATGAATATGGGACATTGCAATGTATTTATGGATTTTCATTCTAATTTTGTGTGTGTGCTTTATTTCATGTCCATTTTTGTACTTTGGATTCCTCCTCTCATTTTCTTCCAACAAAATTGAGACAGACATGAAGATAAAAATACTCATTAGCTTGTCTAATAAGTATATTTCATCCTTTTAATTTAATTGTTCAATCTTTAGGTATAATTTACATTTTGTGTTTTGCTTTCATTTTTGCCATGTTTTATAACAGGAACAGGCTTCCTGGGTGTGTCAGTGTGATGACAATATGGTTCAAAAACTAGAAACAGATTTCAAGATGACTCTTCAGCAGCAGAGCACTCTAGAGCAGTGGGCGGCCTGGCTTGATAATGTAATGGTGCAAGCATTGAAACCATATGAAGGAAGACCCAGCTTTCCTAAAGCAGCACGGCAATTTCTTTTAAAATGGTCTTTCTACAGGTAGTCTTCTAAATTATTTTAGCTATTTTATTATTTGCTCAATAGTATGCCATAATAATGTTGAAAAAAGTTATATCAGACAATAGTTCCCAAGAAATGTAGAGCTTTTCCCCCACCCCCCAAAAGATCGGTGTTCTTAACATTAAACACAGTTATATGTGCAACTCAGCAGCAGATGAAATTATTCTTGTATATTGTTTTATAGACCTTGTGCAAGTGTAATGAGGTTAGAATTTTATCCTGATTTGGAAACATGCTATGAAATATTTTGGATTGAATAGCTATACAATTTTAAAGCCAATGTTTTAGTATTAGTTATTAAAATACCATGGGTTCTATTTTTATTATGTAGGGACACATTTTTTTTTAATTGTGTAAAAAGAACAAGACAAATGTTCTATGTCATCTGCTACTGTATCAATTATCATAGTAAAGCTATTTTTTTTCAAAATGGTGCATGATAGCATCTACTTTGTGAGAGTATCATATGGATGTTTTCATCTACAATCTGCATTTTTCTACTATAAGGTATACACAAACTTATCTAAATTTTACAAGCTTAAAAATCATACCAGTTAAAAACTTTGAACTAGGAGTGGGAGCATAACAGACACAATATTTTGAAAGACCACTTTGTTTGAAATTAAATAACTTTAATACACTTTTGCTACTTAAAATTTTAACAAAGAACTTACTTTTGCTAAGTTCAGTTTTTACATGTGCTCACATATTAGTAATTGTGCATACACCAAAAACCCCCTTCCTGCCTTTTTGAAAATTTAGCTCCTCATTGTGTAATATGGTCTCTAACCATGCTTTCAAAAAAGGGGAGAGACAAATAATTGTCTTTCACAGACATTTCTTTCTGAAGACATCATAGATCAGATGGTTTTGAATAGCATTACTTTATTATTCTTGAAGTGTATATTCCATATGAATGATTTATTAAAGAATTGTGATATTTATTTCATATTTTCCCCCCATATTTAAATAGCTCAATGGTGATTCGAGATTTAACCTTACGCAGTGCTGCTAGCTTTGGCTCTTTTCATCTGATCCGCTTGCTTTATGATGAGTACATGTTTTACTTAGTCGAACATCGTGTTGCTCAGGCAACAGGAGAAACACCTATCGCAGTTATGGGAGAGGTAAGATAATACACACGAAAATGGATTGGTGAATTAAGCAATAAATTCAGATATGCATTTTCAGGTTTTTTAACATTTACATGGACCTATAGGATATTTTTTAATAATATTTATAATCTGTTGTAGATTGAGTTGCAAATACATTGGCATCTTCAAATTTGGGTTATATGCCTTCATTCATGTTTCACACAAATGAAATGAAAGTAGCATGGAAGTACTTGCAGGATTGGGACATGGCATAATTTCATGCCTATATTTCAATGTATTTTGTTTAAAATAAACAGATCAAAGTATAAATTCAGAAACACCGTGTCTTATATGCATTTATGGTATTTGCAATCTGAAGTTTTCCTCACTCTTTTTTTTTCAGTAGCACCCCTAACAATTAATTTTGTGTAAGTTGCTTAGGAATTCACATTATCTTAGGAGTTATCATCAAGGAATTGTACTTGTAAAGTTCTAGAAAATGGATGTGGACATACAATAGATAGTTCACCAGACTGAAGCTCGATGTTTTTATACTTGATGATCATTATATCATGTTTAATCTTACTGATAAGTTGTAAGTCACCTTGCATGACTTGATATATATATTTTTCCTCAGGATATATTAAAAAGTATAATTAAATATTATAAAAATATGTACATTTTCATAGAGATTGGAAGTCTTGGCTTAATTTGTAGTTTGATTAATCTGACATGTAAAAAAGAAATTACTTTCTGATTAGATACTTGAACTCTGCCATTACATTTATAGCAAAGTATTGGAAAAGTATAATATTGCTACATTCTTGTTTTCTTGACATAGTATATGTCAAATGTAATGCTTGTGGTGTACTGTGGGACTTCCTAGAATGTTTTGGTGAACTTAAGACAGATATTATCTTAGAGAGAAAACATGTAATCTAAAGTTTTGAGAGATGAGAGGGGAACAGGGAAGTTGTAAACATTCATTTAATGCATGGCTTCTTGTGTTTCTCTGCATTTACTGACTATTTGAAATAAAATGGGAAAGACTAAGGCTAGTTTGACAAACACTTGAAGCCATTATGAACTGTGTTTACGGCTGAGAAAAAGTTTCCTTCTCTCCCATCCCCTTAGATTTGTAGATTGATTCTGGTACAAGTACTCAGACAGTCCTGTGGTTAACTGGATCAGAGAATTAATCCTGTCTGAAATAATCCCTTGGGCTATTTTTATTGGGTTAGGTCTGTCATGTTGTTCTTTGCATGGCCATGTGGATGACTTAAGGTGAAAGGATGGGTATGGGAAGGTGAGGAGGGAGTATATATGAGTGAACCTGGAAAGATAGGGCTGCTGCTGCTTATGCTGGTTTAGTGTTCGCTGAAGTTTTATCTTTCTGTATTTCTGAAAAGGACTGAGTCAGGTATGTTTAGAAATATATTTATTTAAATACTGTACTCCTTTTATTTGAGATTAGCGAATCAAATTATGCTCTGCAGCTTCTCATTTAAGAGAAGGGTAAAGGACTCAGACAAAGAAAGGGAGGAAAGAAGTTTGATTTTTTACTTGTGAGCAGCTTTTCACTTTATTTTTTATAAGTAAACTAGTCAGCATAATATACTGTAGTAACCATCAACCCTATTTTCAGTGGTGCCATTTATTTACTCTATGTATAGTTTTGCTACACTATAACTGCCTTAGTGACACACCATTTCAGGATAACTTTTAAGCAAGCTTTTGGTTAAAGTATTGCAGTTTAAAAATGGACACCGGTCATATTTTCCAGCATTCTACATCAGAAATATCTCACTCAAAGCAACAAAGGCCTTAACATAAGTCACCCTAAAAATGCAAATACATATGCTTAAGTTTATATCCTATTGTTTTAATTGCTGTCAATATTTTATTTTAATTTCCTTAATATGAACACAAATATAATGGAATGGAAAATGAAATTGTATACTATGGATGTGACTGCAGTCAAATGCATGCACTTTCATACTAGCCACAAGCCATTAGAGCATACTACTGGCTTTACCATAGATAATCTAAGGTCATGTTTGTGTAGGACTGTGCGCACAATTTTTATTGTTTATTTTGCAGTTTGGTGATTTAAATGCTCTATCCCCTGGAAATATGGATAAAGGTAAGCACTCCCAAATGTATAATTTTATATAGAACTAACATGTCTATTGGAGCAAAGCAAGTTCTTTTTTTTAAAAATATAGTTAAACAGAATTGAAAGCTACATCATAATTTAAATTATGTGAATATTACTATTATAGGGGTACAATATGCTATACATGATATATAGTATATTATAAGGACTAGAATACTCTAGGGCCTAAATATTTTTTTTTATGTCTATATTTTACACAAGAAATTTTCAAAATTTAATTGTATATTCTGGTGAGAGAGCTGAAGGGGATGGACAGCTGGAAAAAGGAAGCTATGATTGGTTATTACACTTTCCTGTGTTTTCATATTTCATGTTATTTGCAAAATGAAGGCCTTTGTATTCAGATTTTTCCCCTTTGTGCTACTTTTCTTTTCTTTTCTTTTCTTTTCTTTTCTTTTCTTTTCTTTTCTTTTCTTTTCTTTTCTTTTCTTTTCTTTTCTTTTCTTTTCTTTTCTTTTCTTTTCAGATGAAGGCAGTGAAGTTGAAAGTGAAGTAGAAGAAGAGATGGATGAAAATGGAGGGCCACAAGCCAAGAGGGAGAAAACAGACTTAAATCAAGCATTTCAGGTGGGCTGCTTGCAGCAGCCAGTGCTTGAGAGTGGAATAGAGCAGAGCCTCCTGAACCCAATTCATAATGAGCACATTGTTACAAATACTCAGACTATCAGACAATGCAGTGCTACTGGAAATACATATACTGCAGTCTAATATTGAAGTGCTCCTTAACTGCATTAGCCTTGTTGATGCTGGACTTAATGGGGGAGATAGGAGAATAGGTCTAAAAGTCATCTTATCAAATTTTAGCTGTGCTGAACATTACCTTTTATTGGATTGTGAAATAAAATGGGTGTATGCATTTTGCCAGATGTTTAAAAAAATTTTAAGGAAAATCATTTTACATTGGTTATTCAATATTGAGTTTTCGTAGTTTCAAGTGTCAATGAAGACTTTTGTCAAGCTTTTAATGTTAATGCTTTTGTCCTCTTAAAATTAAAATAACTTATTTTTTTCATAGTTTAAATATATTTTAATGCTAATTATTTCTCATAATGATTTCATATACATAGATTTTTAATTAGATGCAAAATATGAAAAGAAATACTTTCTTTGACATACTGGATGCATACTCATTTGACAGTAGATGCATCAAATCTGTTATAAAAGGTGCTTTTCATTGAACACAACTAGAAGACGCTATTTTCATGAAAGTGTGAGCATTCAGGGGGTATTTTTATCATAATGTTGGAGGGTTGGGAAGATCTAGTTTTCTTTCTGTAAGTAAGAAGTGTTTTCACTGCATTTACAAATGCAGAATAAGTGATAAAATTGTAACAATGTGGTAATGTGTACACTGTAGGCACACCTAATTATCTGATCACATGTAAACAATACAAGCTTCCTTTAAAATCAACAGCTCTGGATTATATTTGCATGCCAATTCCTCTGGTTTTGGAGACTACTGATTCTATTTTGAGACCACTGCACAGATATGTCTGGTTGTCAAATGGTACTGTAGTTAATAGAAACTAAACCACAATAGAAGTAACTTGATTTTTTTTAAGTGTACATGCTACTTATATTGAACTAGACATATAGGAAAACATTCCTTTTGGATGACTTTCTTCTATTCTAGGCCTGTTCCTACTATTTTAATTAGCTGCGTTCAAAAATGATAATTTGTAGAATGTAAGAAATGTAGCAACCTGCATAATTTTCTTTTTAAAATGTGTCTCCTGATTAATAAAGTGAATTTAATTTTTTACAAAAACTTATTAAGGTAGTGTAACTGGCATGCCTCCCTTGTACTTATTCCCAATTGCATTAAATTTTAATAGGTGGCTAGATGGATCATTGCTATTTAAGAATGTACATCAGGGATCATTGTACCTCGGCTATTACATGGTGCCTTAAACAGAACTGAAACTAAGATTTAGTATTTTTTGTTATTTTTAATAACTCTTAAAATTTATTCAACAAGGTGTGCCTGTCACTTTCAAATTTCCTAAGTATTAGGGGCAGGTTGCATAGTCTTCAAAGAAATAAAGAGGGTTTTATTATTAAGTGATATTTATATCCCTCGTAAAATTGATATTAAAAATATTTTTTCTTGTTTCTAGTTGAATTTCACTTCATTACAAATAAAATTTGCTTGGGAACTTGAAAAGCAAAACTAGCTTTAATGCCAACTTCAAATCTTGTTAAATTAAATGCACCATAGTCATAAGCATGGTTATATTGTTTAAACTCTTGTCAGATTTTAATTTTAAAAATTCAGACTAAATAAATAAGCAGGTACATAATGCAGCAGCACATATTTTCAATTTGCATATGTGGTAGGGTGTCAGTCTGATGCTAGGTTTTAATGATTATATTTTATAGTGATAGTTTATACAGTCCATATTAATTGATGTTAAACATTTATTATTTTTTCTGATTATTTTAAGCATTTTCATGATTTTTAAAGCAGACATAAATTTGCTAGGCTAAAATATTGAAAATAATTAAATAAAAGCAAAAAAGTGAAAGAAAGAATAACAAAGGTAATTTTATAGAAAGGACTGCATTAAAAATGAAGGGAGTCTCTTGTTTTATCTAGTGTGACTGTGGATTGATATTTTTTTAAAGTCATATATACCAAATGGTTAAACAGCATGTGACATGAACAGTGTATTTTTAGCAAAGAAATTTGTTGCTAGAGCTTTCAGATTAATCAAGAATGGTTATAGCTCAACTAAGAGGGCTTAATACTTTTTGGGGTACAAAATTATTTGTAAATTTCTTAGCAAAATTTGGAGGCAAACCCATCCTGCTCCATTCTATGTAGGCATAATTCCTACTTATGTCTGTGGATGTTTTTTGTCACAGCAAAAAGTGCAAATGAGGTTTGTATTAATTTCTCTCTAAATTCACCTGTGCACTGAATCCTCATAGGTTGTGTTCTCCCAAATATCACTGCATCCTGGGTTTTTTCCCTTAGAAATCAGCACCTATTCACCAGAAATCCTAAAAACTAACCTATGATATTTGCTCCCTTTTATTTTGCATTATAATATTTTAAAAAATAAAATATAGTTGAATACTTAGCATTTTTCATTCTTAACATAGGGTGCCCTATGCTGTACTGATGGTCCCTATTGCCTGGTTTCAAATTTTGTGTTGACAAACTTTAAATATTTTTTATTGGTAGAATGTTGGATTTATTGTTGCTGAAAGAAAAGTATGGTTGTAACATGTAAATCTAGATTGCTAAGAAGAGGTGGGACCTGAACATCTTCTGAACAGTTAATCACTGTTCATGTAGTGCAAAAAGAAAACAAAATATATGCATACAAAGATACAATGCATATCATGGATTCTAATAGCAGTTGTCAAAACAAATTTAAATTGTTCCTTATTCAGATAACTGAATTGTTTGTATATCTATGCTTATCAACTGATTATTCTCTCAAATTTTAAAGTAATATTTTCCCCACTTTAACAATTATTTGACAGAATTAAGTTGCTGTAAGCTGCTCTGCTTTGCTTTTAAATTTACTGCAATTTAAATCAAACATACGCGCATGAAACAATTTAGTACTTTTGATATTTGTTAATAGATGGGTATTGTTAATGATTTGAGAACAGAAATATGGATACCTCAGTCCAAATTATGTAGTGTGTAGCATGTGGCTGAATTGCCACTCTGAAGCCTGCTTAACTCTTTTAGAGCTCTAAAGAGCTGTAGCAAGCATCTACTGTCTAGACACTACAAGATAAGGGTTCACATCATTTGTGGATTTTACCCAATCTTGACGTGAAATTAAAAAATTATTTTAGAGTCGCTTCCCCCATTGGCATAAATTACTTAGTAAACAGTGTGGCGGAATGGGAATGGGTATTGTTGAATTACTTTTTCGTAACATGGGGCCCAATTTTCACAAGTTTAAATATATGAAAAGTTACATTTTCATATTTCTCATTGTAAATCATTTTTTTTAAAAGCCCCCTCTTTTCAGTTATCTGCTTCTGTGTTTTATTATTATACTGTAGCATGCTTTGTGCATCTTTTTTTTAATGTTCCGTTAAAAAAAACTGGATAGTACTCTTTAAATTGTTTACTTGCAAAATTATGATGTACAGCATTTCTGCCTTTAGTTCAAAAATGTGTAAAATACTGTGCTGGTGTACTGTCGCTGAGGAATGTATAGCTTTATAAAACATTTCAGTTTAAACTGAAGCATTTTTAAATGTCTGAAATACTGCTTCTGTTCAAAATATTTTCCACGGGGGAAGACCTGACCTGATATTTGTGGTTCTCACCAAATGATATCAGCATTGTTTAGAAATACATTTATATTAGTTAGCACTACATTGCAATCTAGCTTACTTTACAGAGTGGTTTTACAAAATGAAATAACATTTTATAGTCATGGAAAAAAAAGGTGGAAAGTAACTTTTTAAATGATGTAAGTATTTTTTGTACTTTGTGACAGTTATTTCAGAGTTTAAAACATTCTTTTGACAGATCAGTATAGATTTCTGAAAATTACATCCTCGTCTGTAGAAAAAGAAAACTATCATGTCTGTGGTTTAAAAATAAGTCAATAATTGGTATTCTAGTATCTTTGCTACTTTGGTGATTAAAAAAATAAAAAACAGGAATAGAAGAATAAATACAAAGTACTTACTTAGTTTTAGCCTTAGAAAATTAACCCTTTGAGCATTTTGAGGATACACTTTTTAGGTAATTTAATTAGACCACTGAAAATATTCTATATATTTAAGTAACTGATTGTCCTGCAGAATTTTTTTTTAAATTTCTAAATTAAATATTTGCATGGTACACAGAAATGTTTCTGTTTCAAAAGGCTTAATAGATTTAGGTGAAATTATTCACTGCCACCAATATGTGCTGTATGGTGCAAAACTATTTCTGCTATTTTATTTTATTTTCATAATTGCATAAATATCTGAAGAAATAAAATATTTGACTCTACAGTCATAGGTTGTTTACTTTAAGACCTCTTTACAATATGGAGGTTTAGAAAAAATATTTGTACTCTTTTGGAAATATCTTCAGGCTGATATTAAAATACTTTAATACTGTAAATTAAAATCTTCACAAATAAAACCAAAACTATTTAATTAACAAGAAAATTAATTTTACAGAACCCTTGGTATGTTTGCAATCAAATTTTCAGCAGTCTATCTGATAAATAGACAAAAAGGACATTGTATTCATATTACTTTTAACAGTCAGTCACTGTGATATGAACTAATGGAAAGACAGTGGTACTAGATTCAGCTTCCTCTACAGGGATGCAGTTTGGATGCCTCTTATTGAATGTCAGAATTTAAAAAGAAATAAAAACCAAACCCTAGAAATTGCACCTGCCTTCTGCTGTGTTGAAAAGTCCTTTGTTCTTACAAGTAGTACTTACCAGAACAAGGGAACAAGTTCAGAAGTGAGTACAGAGTTGTTGAAAATTATAGATAGAAATACCACCTTACTTAGCTTTTCTACTGGTTGATGGCAGAAGCAATCAACAACAGTAGGTGCAAATGCATTTTATTCAAATCTAGCTGAGTGAAAAAAGTCTCATTACATTTAGTGGAATTACATCACTAATATAGTGCAAGTAAGTTGTAAAGATTTCTAGTAAGTTAATGAAAATTCATGCATAATTATAATGCAATACTCAAAGGGGTTTAATTTAACAATCTTTTAT